CGGGTGTTAGGAATCATGAGAACTAATCCACTACAGAGCATGCTTGTCCTGCCTGCCAAATATAAGTTGATCACTGGCTCACTGATATGGTATGGATCTGTGTCCCCATCAAAATCTCACATTCAGTTGTAATCTCCAATGTTGGAGGTTGGGCTTAATGGGAAGTGACTGGATCATGGGATCAGAGTTTTCATAAATGGCTTAGCAACGTCCCTCCTTGATAGTGTATAGTGAGTGAGTTCTCGTGAGATCTGGTACTTAAAACATGTGTGGCGTCTGCCCACTCTCTCTCTCTTTCTCCTGCTCCGACCATGTAAGACAAACCTGCTTCCCCTTTGCCCTCCATCATGATTGTAAGTTTCCTGAGGTCTCCCTAGAAGCAGAAGCTATTATACTTCCTATATAGCCTGCAGAACCATGAGCCAATTAAATCTCTTTTCTTTATAAGTTACCCAGTCTCGGGTATTTCTTTATAGCAATGAAAGAATGGCCTAATATACCCACCTATCCTGATTTTTAGCATTTTGGTCATTTCTGGCATTTGGGTATGTATCTTCAGTTCTTTATTTAAATTGCCATTATATTTTACCCCTTATACTTACGTTCCCAATATAAAACAGGGGAGTTGTAACCACAGAGTACGTATTGCTGGAGGCTGACATTCTAAACGTCTACTTATAATGAATCCAAAAAGTTTCTATGAAACTCTAGGGAAAGGTAGGAGATTAAAATGCTAAGTTCTATTATTGTTTTTTAGCCCTTGAGTATGAGTTAATATATCTTACCTCACTAGATCATGGGAAACAATGCTGAATGAGCACAGCAAAGGGAGAATAACTGATAGACCTTTAGCCTTCTCTCATGAAAGCATTTTGTCCAGTTGCTGCTGAGGGCTTTGTGCTTGTGTATGTTTATGGGGCAAGTGAGGATGAATTTCAAATGTTTCTGATATGAACAGCAGTCACTGGGGCATCAGAACACAGGATGATGTTGTGAAATTGACTAGTTGTCAGGACTTGGGAGGGCACATGTTCTAGTGTGGAGTTACGTTGAGCACTTCAGGAAATGTCTGGGGAATCTATTTTCCACTATAAAAATATGACTGGAAAAATGTTAAGTAGTAGCCCAAAAGAGTCAGCCACATTCAAGCAGCCATGTTCATTTGTGGGCTACAACCTACCATGTGGAAAACTCTGGCTGTACAGTCACATTATACTCAAGATGGATTTCCATTTGAGTAACTGATGCTGTAAATTTGGTTTTGCTTTCCTGTGAGGTTGCTGCAAGGAAATGAAGATGCCAGAGAAAAATGTACTGAGTTACACAGTGTTCCCCAAAAACTTCTTCCAGAAGAAACTTTCCTCCCAGAACCTCAGAATGTGACCCGATTTAAAAAAGAAGGTCTTGTTAAATGTAATCTGTTAAGGTGAAGTCATAGTGGATTAGGGTGGGATGTAATTCAGTGACTGGTGTCCTTATAAGAAGGAAACTTGGACACACACACCTACATAGAGGGAAGACAACGTGAAAGCAGAGACACAGAGAAAATACCATGTGACAATGGGGGCAGGGATTGGAGTGATGTGGCCACAAACCAAAGAAAGCTAAAAATTGCCAGCAACCACCGGAAGCTAGCAACATTTTTTCCCTAAAGCCCTCAGAGCATGCGCCTGTCAACACCTCAATTTTCTGCTGCTTTAAGCCACCCAGCTTCTGGAACTCTGTGACATCAACTCAAGGAAACCGATATAGAGGGCATTATTCCTATATGAGCACTGTTATCTTTACCCTAAGTAGGGTGTCACATTCTTATCCCTCGATGCTGAGTTAATGATTATTGCTCAGGTTCATTTCATTCTGAAAATATAGCTTCTCGATCCCCTGTCCTGAACTGAGGCGATCGTAAAAAGGGGTTATCAAACACAAACCCACCATGAGATTCAACTTCGAATGGAGATAAACAGCACTTTGCAACAGTAGCTATGGGGTTGCTCAGATCATCTGCAAAGATGTCCAGCTTTGTGCTCCTGAGGGTCCAAGGGTCTTTCAAACCATTTGGAATTTTCACAGGAGGTTTTTGCGGAGGAATCCTAGAAAGGTCTCTGGAAAGCAAGCACCCTGTTTTCTCCATAAAATAAATGAGGATACAAACACACTCTATTGCAAACAGAACAATCACAACGCTCTTCACCAGCACCCTTCCATGGGACATTCATTCATGGCTCTCCCACCCAAAAAGCCCCGAATCTGAACATAGCAGGCGACTGCCTGATGTGACAAAACAGGAAGCCATATATGGGCACACAGGTGCACAAGTCTCTCAAGTGCTGATTTTCAAATGCTGTAAATCCCAGGAGAAATACACAGCTATAACTGCACAGGAGGCAATTTGCCAGAGAAAAAAAGAGAACATTTATTTTTGATTTCAAGTAAAAAGAGAAAATCAATTCATTCAAAGACTTTATGAGTCATTTCAGTTATTTGCACTCACTTGTCTAGGGATGTGAGTAAAAGTAGGGTAAATTGGGCTTCCACAAATAACCAGTGAAGATGATGGACTGATTTCACAATTCTGGCCCTGACTGCTTCAAGCTGTACTGGGAAGCCCCCTGAGGAAAAGCAAAGCCCAGCACCAGGACAGTCCTGAGATTGTGGTGAACACACAAACCCTCCTGTGACATTCTTTCTTCACACTTCCAAGAAGTTTCACGTAGTGGACAGCTCCAATTGACTCTTTTTTTTTTTTTTTTTTTTTGAGACAGAGTCTCGCTCTGTCACCCAGGCTGGAGTGCAGTGGCCGGATCTCAGCTCACTGCAAGCTCCGCCTCCCGGGTTCACGCCATTCTCCTGCTTCAGCCTCCCGAGTAGTAGCTGGGACTACAGGTGCCCACCACCTCGCCCGGTTATTTTGTACTTTTTAGTAGAGACGGGGTTTCACCGTGTTAGCCAGGATGGTCTCCATCTCCTGACCTCGTGATCCACCCGTCTAGGCCTCCCAAAGTGCTGGGATTACAGGTTTGAGCCACTGCGCCTGGCCTCTCAATTGACTCTTTGGGTATTTAATTAAATGAAATATCATGCTCGAGTAGCTTTGAGGGGGTGTTAAAGAATCACACAGAGCAAACTACTTTGGTCTACACCTAATTACTTTATCTGTTACACAAGGCTTTCTATAAGGCAAAAGGATCCTGTCATAACCACCATCTCCCCTGAAGAAAAGAAAATATTTAACTGAAAACTAGAACTTCTTGAAGTTAGCCAGCCAGCTTTCTTGTAAAAATAATTGGATATTAAGTCTTCCTTTAAAAATATATGTACTATGTCAAAGTAGGGGTGCATTATAAATAGAGACTGCTACTAATTCAGTTGCAAACTGTAACTAGCTTTCACTTTATATTAACGCCCAGAGCAATACGGAACATCTTACAGCTTTGCACAACTTTGAACTTATTTGTGTTCCAAAAAGCTGTATGTATGTTAACAAGGAACCACAGAACACACCTTTTTTGTGCCGTTTGACTGGCAGACTTTGCTGTGTAGAACATATCAAGTATTCAGGAAAGGGCAACTCACAACTTGAAGGATGCAAACATTACAAAATCCACCACGTGCAACGAGAAACAAGGATCCCAGTACCTAATAAAACCAAGGAGCTGGTTTTTATTCTCCCTGATGGTCAAAACCACGTCTTTGCACTCAGTTTCGAGTTCCTGTCATTACACGTTAAATCCTCTGTGAAATCCTACTACAGGAAAAAGACAAGGTAAACCAAATGAATTCAGGTGACCAGCTAGCAAAGAAGATTTTTATTTTCAGGAGTGACATCATTTTAAAGCTTAAGAGCAACTCTCTCACTGTCGGTGCCTCTTCCATCTCTGGGTCCATCCCTGCCTCAGCAGCACCTTGCATCTTACCACTGAAACCTGTACTTAGTTCTCAGCAGGTTTTAAATGTCTGCTGACCTCTCTGATTCTCCTACGAGGCTATGAGTTTCTACGACTGTGCCTTATTCATCTTTTCACCCATCACCACCTCACCCAATGTTTGGCACAAGCTCAGTGATTAATAAATAGGACTTTTAAATAAATGTTTAAAATCACAAATTTAGAGAGTACACATGTATGAAATGTGACCATATTTAGGGACCACAGAATACACAAGCAAAACATTAAAAGTAATGTTTCCAGGGATGTAGCATTTTATATATATATATA